TCTCAAGGTTAGGAATTCTTATTAGAAGAATCTCATATAAGTCTGATTCTTGTCAGATGAACACTAGCTTTTTCTCACGAGAACAAAATTATTTTGCCAAGAACCAGTTAATAGGGTATTCTTCTGAGAAGAAACACTGCCCTCCTCCCAATATCAGTGATATCTATTTAAGCAGAATCTCATATTTCAAGCAAGCTTATCAGAAGAATTAATTCTCTTTCCTGAAGACCCCATATTTGTTTGAGAAGAAAGTCAGTTTCTGAGTCTTCTCAAGATAATTTTTGTCCTTCACCCAAGACTGAATGTTCATTTTAAAATTGATCGTAAAGACCGTTGTTCTTCTCCAGAGATTGAGTTTGCTTTCCAAGAATCACGTTCTAAAGGATTCTTGCTGAAAAAGTCTATGTGCTCTTCTGAGGTCTAAATAAACCGGAATCAAAATGCTGAAATTATTTTTCTAATTCGGTATATATAGTATGTTTTCCTATGTCATTCGGTTGTTGGTTGGAGAGGGTGAAAACTAAACAAACCATTCGAAGGTTTTGCATACTTGTAGGTGGGTCACGCATGACAACTACCTTATCCGGGCCACCTCATCTGTGATGTACATATGACAACAACGCTTTTAGGTGATATTTTTCAATCTAAGTCCGATACCAACAGCAAAGTTAACCAAATCGGCAGTCGGATCTGCTATTCCCTCCTCAATAAGAACGCTAAGTCGCCTTTTAAACGCTTTTACTTGATAGAGGTATCTTAAAAACTTCCTCTCGAGACTCCTTCAAGTCAGACTCTATACGAGAGCTTACTGATTACTCATTTCACGACACTGATGTATTTGAAAGGTTTCAAACTTGAACGAAACAGAAACATTGACCAGGGACTACTTTCAAATACATGTTAAAAATTTGTGATGTTAGTGACACAAATGGTGGTCACTTAAACATCGGCGAGAGAATAGTGAGATCAATCTTTAGATGAGTGTGGTATCAAACACAAGTTCTGGATTTTTGTGTTTTTGTTGTAGTTGTATTTAGCTTGATTAAAAGTTAGCCTTTCTTTGCTTAACTTAATGAATCCATCGTTACAGTTTTGCGGCACTGAGAAATGTATCTGACAATGCAAAAGTCAAGGTATTGCCTAATAAAATGATGTCAAATTGAGATGACATATGATATTGTAATGCAAATTAATCATTAACATTGAATATCAGTTAACGGTCTCTTTTACCATAAATGTATTTTAAAACTATTTGAAAATAACCCTCAAATTGTCAGAGAGAAGTAAGTTTGAATTTTGTTTCAAAACCAGTGACTAGACATAAATGCGTACAAGGTATTGATATCACGGAATGGACTAATGTAAGTCGAGAGATCAATGTTTTGTCTGCATGTCTCAAATTATATTCTTGAGTCCTGCACCGCTCTGCTGAGGGAAAATTAAGAAGGGAAATAAGAAGAAAGTAGAGCATCGAGCGAGAACATTTTTTCCTCGCGGAATTATTTAGAGAACCGTTTGCTTTTTGGCATTTTGTGCAACAATTAAGATAGTCTCGGAATTCAGAGGCTCGTCAAATTTTACTTCAGCAAGGAAGAGGAATTTTTATTTTTTTCTTGATTAATGCTGACTTTAATATCGATTACCTTTGGTACACGGTTTCATTTTTTTTCAGGCAAGGGACTAAATACACACGGGAGTAGGGGGAATAGGGGGGCTTTCTTACGAGAGGGACATTGATTAATTGGAATAGAGAATTTTTTTGAGGTGGATCATTTGTTCTATTCCGTCTTAAATGCCTCATCTCCGCCATATTTTGTACTTGAGGACTTCTGAAAATTGTTACTGACGATTTGTGTTCAAGTATATTCTATGCAAATGTTCCTTTCTTCATGATTGATGAAAATTAATATGTTGGCTCGAGCTTAAGGTATATGTCTTTCTTAAGGCCTATTTACACGGCACGACTTTGTCGCATGCGACAAGCTTACGACAGGCCTACGACATGACTTAAGAGTCGTAAGCGAGTTGTAGGTTTGATTTACACGAAACAATTCGTGTCGTAAGCCTGTCGTAAGCTTGTCGCATGCGACAAAGTCGTACCGTGTAAATAGGCCCTTAGGAATCAAATTTAGCGCTTAGGTTTTCTTGATTTCCTATATTTGAGAGTGCCGTTAATTAAGCTTAAATAATCTGCAAACTTTTGGTAACTATAACATCAGTTGCTCTGCACAACTGTTTCTGAACACAATTTCACTTTTCAATGTACGGAGACATTATAGGTGGTTTTACATGAGTTCATCTCTGGACTCTGCGATTCAGCGACTTTATGGATTACTTTTAGGTAATCACATGAATTCCGAGTGCAATTTGTAATGATTTGTAATGATAACAATTTTGTACAATTTACAAGTGCTTATTTATTCCAAATTGCACGAGAAAAATCAGGTGATTAAGTGTTAATAATATATTCAAGATAGCTTATCATAATTATGCAGAAGCAAAGCACGCGCATCAATTGCAAATATAATTTATTCATGTGCGTTCGGTCAAAACAACCGCGCACGATCAAAACAATGATATACAATGATATTTTCACATCTGTAAGGCGCAATAATGTTCAAAGTCCGACTAAACAGTTCAAGGAATTGTTTAGTCTGTGTCCGAGTCACTTTTAATGAAATGGAATCGTCGTGTGCGAGGTTTAGCATAATCTTTCCCATGTTTGCATTTAATTTCGGCGTTGAATCGCTCCAGCAAAGTGTTAAGCTGGGTCGGCTCGAAATTTTCGATTTCCTCGGCAATTCCCTCCTCTAGACACCACTTTTTCCAAACCGACAGTGTTTTCGTTGTTAGAGCTGTTTTTCAGCTGCTGTATTGTTGTTGCGGTGGCGAAAGAAAACCTACTTAAAACGCCAGCCATAATTTCGCTTAAAAATTTTCGGGAGTCACTACATTACAGGCGACAAATAGGGAAAGAAGAAAAGACCGAAATACGAGTGGTCAGCGGCGAAGCAAATTTAATACTTCATATAGAGACATATCAGTTATAGTTACGGAAAACAATAGTGTTGTAAATCCGAAATACCAACAATATATTTCGCTAAATAAAATATTAAGCAACCTTTTTAAAAGTGCTGATGGCACATATATCTTTTACTGCTGTGATAAACAATGGAGGCATCGGAAAAGGCATCGGTGGCACCCAAGCCTTTATGGTCATTGGCCCCCGTATAGCCGCTAACTATGGCTTATAAATACAGGCGTTTGGTGTTAAATTGTAAAACTCCCCGAAGAAGTCTACGACAGTTAAACGAAAGGCGTCTAACTGTCGGAGAATAAAGAAATTTTACACATACTGTTCGCAGAGTGCGGCTCACCAGTTTAGTTTTAAAGATTTTTTTTTAAAATTTGGTGCGATAGCTGTGGTCAGTTTTTCCATGCAGGTTGTCTGGATATACCTTCCGTAGAGACGTGGGGGAAGGGGGGGGGGGAGGGACAGAGACCAGAGACACCAATGCAACATTACACCTGCCGTTCGGTTCGAAAGTTAAGTTCATTTGTTAAATTAAATAGGGAAAAGAACACTTCGAACGGAAAACAGAATTATTATCTCGTCTGGATCTTTTGAAAAAAGGTCTCCTAGACGAGTGGCCCTGATTATAAATATTTAAGCATGGTAAACACATTAGGTGATTGAATGTATATGATAGACACTAAAAGAACTGCAGCTGATGGAAATTTTAAATTTCTTATTTAAAGGCTGTGGATGCAAACTTATTAATGACTCTAAAATTATAAAAATCTAAAACGAAATTTTTTTTAGAGTTGCTTAGCTTTTCATTTTTCCGGAATAGAAATTTGAGATTGCAAAATTCAAGTGAAAAGGAAACCAACTGTGATTAACGCTTCAAACAAGTCAAGATACTTTTTTTCGTCATACAACAAGTTACATATCGTAAATATCATTCTTCTTGATGCCTTTCCCGGTGTAACCGATGCCTTTCCCGATGCCTCCGCTGGTTAATATAGTAGTAAAAATATTGTTTCAGTCAAGGCGTTTGGAAAATTGCTTAACTTTTTAAGTAGCGAAGTATAACCTGGTAACATTTTGTCTTTACAACACGATAATTTTTCGCAAGTTACAATACGTAAATATATTTCTTCTTGGTGCTTTTCCGAATGCCACCGATACATTTTCCGATGCTCCATTGTTTAATACAGCAGTAAAAGATATATTTGTCATCGACACTTTTGAAAAATTGCTTAACATTTTATTTAGCCTAGTGTACTGTTAACATTTCGGCTTTACAACACTATTGTTTTCTGCAACTACAATTGATATGTCTCTATATGATATATTAAATTTGTTTCCCCGCTGACCACTCGTATTTCGGTCTTTGCTTCTTCCCCCGCTTGTCACCCGTGACAAGACTCCCTAAATTTTCAGCGTATCCAAATGTTGCAACATCCAAGGCTCGCATTTGATTGGCTTTCGGTGAGTTTCTTTGATTATTGACCAATCAGAATGTCTGGTTTGTTACTTCTTTGCACTGAATTAACCCTCTTCTGCATCGAATTACCTGAAAACTCCGTTTATTCTAACCAAGCTGAACTGAGCAATTTTTTCACGTATATTATTATGAACAGATTATTAATTAGGACCAACTGAAAAAAAGGCGCGGTTTTCTGCTCGAATTGACGAGTAAGACGAGTAAGTTGAAATGTTGAGTCAAAGCCGGATTCTAAATAGGAACCAGATAGACACTGGACGAAGAGAAGGACATGTGTAGTCGTCCTCTGCCGGTTAGCATTGAAGGCAAATGTTATTTCTCATAGGTGAAAGCTCCATAAAGAATTTCTTGCAGATTTATTTCTCTTTGATTTGTTTTGAAGTAATCTTTCTTGTTTAATTTCAGAGTACGTAGAAAGAAATTTTGTCGCAAGCATCTTTGGCAATCGACCGTTGGAGGATCGCCAAATAGAAGGGTAATTACAGCATTATGCCTGGTTATCTGCTCTCTACTGCTGAGTTGGAAAGGAGTGGCTCAAAATATATGTGTAATTCCTGTGGTTTGTTATTGAGAGATGCTATGCAAACTAGATGTGGCCACTTTTACTGCCTATCTTGTCTTCCAAGTCTAGTTAAGTAAGTATCCCCTTCCAGTGTTGAGTTTGAAATTGGTGGAAATTTTTACAGTTGTTCCAGAGTTATATTTCATTTCGAAGTAATCAAATTATGTTGATATTTTCTTTACATCCTATGATTTTAAACTACTTGTGGGTATTTTTACTCGGTACTAAATTTTTCGGCTAGTTTGATATCATACGTGTGTAACATTCAAAGCAGGTAGTAATAGTAATTGAAGTACTTGTATTGGTAGTAATTGTAGTAATTGTAGAATTTATTTTTGAAAAGAGTTTGGTTAATTATTGGGAAGACGTGATTATGGATGTGAACCTGCTATCTAACTGGGTTCCAAAAATAAAGACATTTTACTAATTACATAATTTGATAGACCTGTAAACACACTAAAACAGATTAAATGAGAAAATTTGAAATCAATTTTAAGATACAGTACTAGTTTGAAGAATACTGATCATCAAGGATCAAAATTTGGGTCTGTTAATTGTTTCTTCACCAAGTGGCCTCTAATTTAGTCAAAATTTTTGAAGTCATCATTCCTGTTAGATGTGAATAGAGAGCCCTTTTATGAAAAAAAAAAAAAAAAAAAAGAATTGACATTAGGAACCTTCTGATGTCCTTTAAGGATCCTGGTCAACCACACCTCTGTTTTTGTTTACATACAAGCAACTGTGGAGAAAATTGTTCATATTACTTTTTAACTAGGCAGAGAAAGGATTTGCAAAAGGAGAAGCGATAAATCTGATGCCCTCCACATCTATTAAAAATGTACAGAGCTTCAAAATATGCTTAAAGAAGGGAATAGGGGATACCGGATAAAGTTCTGGAGAAATATGTTTGGAGTTATTTGCTTCAGTAGAGAAGGGTCTCTTGAAAAAAAAGAAAAAAAAAAGTGCATAGAAGAAAATATTGGCTTTAACTACCTCAAGAACATACTGATGAGGAAATGGCACCTTATTCAAGACCAAAGCACTTAATCACATCACAAAGGAAAGTCACTTAAATTAAAATTTTATGTGGTCCCTTGCTTCCTGTGACCTGCACCTCAGGTGATGCTCGTCAATGCTTTGATGCAGCAAAATCTCTGCAAATTGGCCATTACCGGTAGTTAGACCTTTGATGCTAGGACTGTCTCTCTTGTTATTCATCTGCTCAGTGGCTTTAGGTCTTCCATGTCAAGGAAAGTGAGATGCAATCTATGGTCCCAGTTACAAACAATATTTTGGAAGAAAATTGCAAGAAACTACTAAAATAACTGCCCAGAATAAGCCGCTGAAAATTTCAAAAGACTGCCAGGACAATTTAAGACCCCAAGATATTCAAAGTGCTCTGATGCACTTGAATGCTAGACTATAATGGAAATTTCACCAGTTCAGATGGCATAGAAAATGATGAATTGAGTGCACAATGTCTTGTTGTTGACTTTGATCCTTAAAGTTTTGTTACTGAAAGCAGATAAGTTGGTATGAGTCGAGTTGGTTTTAAAGTATTGATGTGGTCTGATGGAATATTCCATATGCCGATCTCTGTCTGTGGTTCACTTGCATGTATTTTGATTTTTAGAGAGTCCTCAAAGTTACACTGTACAGTACTGCTCTCATGTACTGCAATCCCAAGTGGCAAGTAAAATACCCTCATCTTGCTTGCTTGGGTAGCCAGTCAGACCATAGTATTAATTTCATCTTGTCCACTCCTGGGCTTCTTAAAAAATGAGTTTTCAATTCAGTATGGTATCTCCTTCATTTCAGTTGTACATTGAATTCCAATTTTCTTCTGAAATTTCCTTTTTAATACATTTAGACTTGTGTAAGTCAAGTGCAGTCTGCTTTGAGAACCTAAAAAAAATCATAATCATCATAATTATTGTTAGAATGTGTACAATATTTACTTGGTCTCAGAAATACCCTTGAACTGTAGAAAGAGGGTACGTGCAATGTATACTTGCTTTAGTATATGACATTTAAGATGATGATTTGAATTTTACTTTAAATTTTTCCATTTTATAGAAATGGATCTCCTGTTATGATTTGTTTACAAGACCAAGCAGAGTTTCTCTCTAGTGAGGTAAGAGTAACATTTCTCTTAGTTATTATTAAGACAAAGTCATTGCCATTGATCTTTACTTTTCAGTCTAGAACTATTGAATTTGTTTTCAGCTTAATAGCAACAGGATAATGTACCATAAATGTTGGCATATGAGCCATAGTTTAATAACAAATCAGGGATGCAGTTTATTTGGGAGAACATCTAGAAGGTATGCTGGAAACCAAGGAGTACTTTCAGATGTTTATCGCCTTCTGTGGTGTCATGACAAAAACTAAAAAAAACTCACTAACTTCTCATCCAAAATTCGAGTTGCCTTAACTTAGTGTGTGGTTTATCTGCAAGTGCGGCTTTCTATGCTTGGTGTTTTTGGTATACTTACAAGCATATTGGAGAATATATGGTTGTGACATACCTGTAACATAAGGTACAAACCATATGTGTATTCTGCTAGGTGGATGGACAGCATTTAGGAAACTCTCTCTTTGGCCAGCACTTGTAATCCCATAAACCCATATAGAGGTGTACATTTTCACGAAATATACTACACATTGTATTTTATTAAAGAGTACAGTTATTATTATTTTTTAATTTCTTTAAAGATTGTTGTGTAATATTAAAAGAAATATCTGAAATCACTGGTTTATCTTAAACTAGTTCTTTTCCATAGTGCAAGTGACAAATTGACACAAGTAACCAGGAAAATGTTTACTAACACTGACAGTGCCCTCCAAAGCGTTGTCAACATGTTCCAGAGGTCTTAAGCATGAAATTTGTGACAAGTGTAATGAGAAGGGTTTTTTTTTAAACTGCTACATACAGCTTTTGTCATCCACGTTTTGTTCCATTAAGGGGACTTTCATGAGGGTTCTATGGTTGTCAGCTGATGATTTGTCTGTCTCTTCTTTGAAGGTTTTTCCTGATAAGTTCATGCGACGTGAAGTTCAGGCTTTTGTTGTTCATTGCACTTTCGAGGATGAGGGATGTATTTGGAAAGGTGAAGTGAGACATCTCGAGGTAAACAATTGAAAACAGACATCTTCTGACCTGTGGTATTATATGATGACAGTTAACATATTTATTAAAGGAGTATATACATGCACCTATTCAGAAAACTTTCTGGCAACATCTTTTTGACCATTGTTCCATTCAAAACTGTTACTTGCAGTAGTCTTTTCTCTTCATGGTTAGTGATGCACATTAATAAAAACATGCAGTGTTCAAGTGTTTGGTATCATGGCACACATAAGTTAGGTTGATATACTTATAGTTAACCAAGAGTGTTCACTTACAATAACTTTGTAATTTTCTAAACTTATATTTAAACAGAGTCACCTGAATATCTGTGAGTTCCTTAAAATTCCCTGTGTACATCCTGAGTGTGGCGCACAAGTTAAGAAATCAGATCTTACTGAACACTTGGAGAAGGAGTGCAAGTGCAGGCTCAAAGCATGTGGATTCTGCAAGAAACAAATCAAACTAAACATTATGGAGGTATGCTCTACAAAACCGTACATTTGGAGAATGTTCTTTAATTGTATTTGTATGGTACACAAATTAAATTTTATTGATGCTTGCCCCCTCAGTCTACTAAGCTTTTTATGTTGAAGTCTGAAGTGCTAGAAATGCCTTTCGCCCATAGAAATAATACTAATTGTCAAGAATTATTTAAACATCAAGACTGCTGAAGCAGCTAAGAAATTAATTCAGTGAGTAATTGAGTTCTTGTACAGCACTACTTAAATGTAAATTCACACTCCCTCGAAATTCGATCTGCGACCCTCGTCCTCGAAAACTTCAAAGATCGAGGCTTGACTCCGGTTTCGATACTATCGAGTCGAGATTGGAGACGTTCCGGACAAGAAAGCAAAGGAATTTTCGCGCGATTAATTTCCACAGGTCTTTGGGTTTCCTCTTCACTCAATAGAAAGGTGTCAGTTCGCCATTGCAACAAACTTGCCACTACAAAACTCGCCACCACCGAAAGTCATATCGCCACAAAGCTGAAAAAAATGAGTAAAACTTCAAGATCTGGGCTTCCATATGATATAAGTGTCATTAGGTTAGATTACGAATTATGTTCGTAAGGACAAAATTCGTGTTAAAGGTTACGTCGACATCCTTTGTGCTTGAAACAAAGAAAAGACGCCAAGTGTGCTTCTGTAAACTTCGCGCTGTATTTGTGCGCGCTTTTTGTCGCAGTATACTACTACATCTTGGCCTTTATTCGATGCAAGTATCAGAAACATCGGCGAAAATCACTCTGGTTTCGCTTTACGCGAAATGATCATAATCTTCGTGATATCAACACGATTATTTTATTTATAATTATTTAAAAGGCTACACGTAACTTCTGAGTCCCTTTCCATTTTCGCAATATACTTCTACATCTTGGCTTTTATTTGATGTAAGTTTCATACGACAGGCTGCACTCAACGAAAAAGTCAAATCGCCACAGGTGGCGATTTAACTTTCAGTGGTGGTGAGTTTGTTGCGTTGGCGAATTGACAGGATACTGATGCGTGCATCGTGCCCGATGCGTCGATGAAAGTTTCTTCATCAAGCACCTTTTTTTGTGGTTATGAAAATTGGCTCGAAATACTTTTTCGCTGGTCTAAAGATAAGTCCTCGAATTACTTTTTCTAGTTTTCAATTAGCTCTTATGGAGAGGCACTTGTTTGAAGAGAGCGTGACCCTCGACTTTGTCTCGCACCTAAAAGTTATTTGATTTTTCTCACGGTGTGGAAGAGTTTCGTTGCCAAGTCCAATTCCCGTTTCATGTTACACGGTTGTCAGTTTGCCCAGTTTTTCCTTATGCGCTTATAAAGGAACAAGCGTGGTGGAGATGTATTATTGCTTTATCTTGTTTGCCAACGCGTAATTGTTTGCGAAAGGAGACTTTGCTGTCACGTAGGCCACGTTTTTCCGGCTTTGGAATAGATGGTTTTGTGAAAGCGTAACAGAATTCAGTGTATAATAACCTACGAACCTCGTGGCTCATGGTTTTGAATTATAGTGACTCATCGTGTTCAATCAGAGGATTGCAATTTATCGGCGTATATACGATTTAACCTATTTTCGCAAGAATTACTGCTGTAAATTAACCTCTTTGCGTCGTTAACGAGAAGAAGGTTAGCCTGTTACAAGGATCTCTCTAGAGGGTACATGCTTCGTTTCTATTAGAACCCAAGATTGATTCCACCATTTACATTCTGTGGTTTTCAGCGTCACCATGAGACAGATTGCCCTGCATATCCAGTTTTATGTCAAAAATGTGGCAAAGATCGTATTCCCAGAGCAAAGGTAAACACATGAATTTGATGTTTGTTCCTTTATATCTCAGACTATGGTAATAGATTTGAGACACATGAAAATCCCAATCGTGAAATGAAGGTTGATTGACTTTTTCGAGGGGGATTTTCTTGGCATAGCACAGATTATATTTTTATAGATATCATTGCTAACAATTTGTTATGAACCACTTCAACTTCACATACAGTGTCAAGAGAATTCGAACTGCATTTTATATTCTCTTAAAAACGGTGTGTAAGGTACCCAAAAGCACCAGTTTTCCTTGTGTGTGCTGATGAAATTAAAACGGTTAACTGAAGAGTCATTGTGAGGTGAACTTGTGAAAAGCTTTGAGTTTTAGTGGCAATCTTCAAATGTATACCGTGGCATTGTTGGACAATACATAAATAAGGTTAGATTGATATAATGTACTTGCACTTGCAATCGATTAACAATCGGATGTTCCATCCCAACGGATCTAAGTACTATTTAACTGCATTGTCTACGACAAAATCGGGCTTTCTTATTCAGACTGTGTCTCGTACACATTGCAATACAGAAGCTTTGCGCCGTATGTTTATCTTGCCTGAAGAAAGGAAGAATCATCTCTCTTTCTGTTTTAAATTTCAGTTATCACAACATCAAGATCAAGTCATGGGAGACTGTGATAGTGTAAATGGACCGTGCCCATTTTCAAAGATTGGTTGCCCTACGACTGAGGTACCTATTCTTATATGTGGCTTTGATATTTTGTTAATTACCTTCGGATTGAAGTCACAACTGAAGGAATAACACGTGATCGTTTAGGGACAATTGCTAGAAATACCCGGACTTAAATGGGGTTATTAGGGCTAGTGGAAGTCCCTATGGTTTGACTGAGTTGCTCTCTCCTTCCAACTCTTGCTGAAAAAGTGGCATGCAGTTTAGTGGTCGGAGTATGGTGATACTTCCCAACTGTAGGCAATTGTTTTAGTTCTCCATATCATGTCGCGGGCGAAAAAGAAATGAAAGGGAGCTAAGGGATATCCCAGCAACGGTGAGAAGCTGTGAACCTTTTTAACGCTTGATCAAACAGATAAGCCTACGTTTGGTCAGTAGAGGGTCGAATTAATTTGAACGCGACTTTGATATGTCGATTTGATACAACTTTGTACGGGTGTGGGTATTTCTGTTCCTAATATTGTAGCTCCTGTGTGTATGCATACATGTACAATGTAGCCTGAGTGCTTAGTTATCTTCTCTAAATTTTCTTTTTTTCTGGAGTGAAACTTTATTTTAATGGCGCACTTTTCTATGACAGGTCCTCACCCAAAAACAGAAGAAGGAGCACCTGGAGAAACACAATACACTCCACACTACCTTAATTTTACATCATGCCGTGCGTTTAAGCAAAGAATTTGAAGCACTCGTAGAGAGAGATCCCAGAATCATGTCTAGAAATCCACACTTAGTTTCAAATTACGACAGTGTGATTGCAGACCTTCTCACTCAAATTCAAACTCAGGCGGGTGAAACGAGGAATTTACGTGAAAAATGCCAAGAACATAGCGAGAGAATCACCGCCTTGGAAAGAAAAGTGGTCTCAGGAAATCTGTCAAGTGCCGCTAGTGCTGCCCAAATACCTGCCGGGTCCGATGGTGGTACACAAAACCCTGAAATTATACGAAGGGTTACTAATGTTGAAAACCGGACCGCTGACCATGAAGTTCTTCTGGTTGAGAACAATCGTACAATGGAGGAAGTTAGACGTGACGTGGGCAATATCAAAAGGCAACTTGACACCACCCAGGAGAGTACCAGAAGGCATGACAGAAGGATTGAATCTATAGAGCACACGCTGGCACTCAGAAATGTAACCCTGGCTGACTTGGAGGAATACGTAAAGCAGCAAGAGTTCTCAAGCTACGATGGCCAGCTGTTGTGGAAGATTCCTGATTATGCTCGCAAACGAAATGATGCAGTGACAGGCCAGCAAGTCTCTTTCTATAGCCCTTGCTTTTACACCAGTCGTTATGGCTACAAAATGTGTGCCCGCATTTACCTGAACGGGGATGGAATGGGAAAAGGAACGCACATCTCGATCTTCTTTGTGGTCATGCGCGGTCAGTATGACGCGCTGCTCCGCTGGCCATTCAGACAGAAGGTTACCTTTATGTTGCTGGACCAGGATAACGTGGAACACGTGATTGACGCCTTTAGACCTGATCCGAACAGCTCATCTTTCCAGAGGCCAAGAAGAGAAACGAACATCGCCAGTGGGTGCCCAATGTTCTGCTCGCTTGCTGAGCTGAATAATCACGCATATGTCAGGGACGACGCCATGTTCCTGAAAATAATTGTGGATATTTCTGATCTGTGAAGGGGAACTTTGAGTTGCGGTTTGTCATTTCTTTTGAAATTACCTCCTTTTTTCATTTTTAATTTACCATTGCTCTGACATAGCTTGTACATGCTGCATAAGTGATACATGGCAGTTGTTATCGTTTGTTTTGTACCTGAAGTGACGAGCATTTTCTTCGTTTAGCAGGACAGTTTAAATTTTGATTTGATGTTCTGATCTCAGTGTGATGTAAAGTTTGTTGTTTGTCATCAGCTTGCTCCGTGACAAGCCGTCTTAATATTATACCTTTACCCTCACCCACGATCGATTACAGTGTAAGTTCTATGTTCGGCATGAAGCGCTATGCAGAGCTATGGTAAATAGTATTGTTTTGTCTCCATCTCAATTATAAGTCATGAGATTTTTTCTGGATTTTATAATTTATGATGATATTGCTATGCGATTGATGTAGGTGCAATGTTTTTCTAAAACGGGTAATTCGGTAGCTATTTCCTTTAGCGAATGAGGTATAGTGCAAATGAGTAAACGTAAATCGGAGTGACATATGCTAAAGTTGACGATTTAACTATTTTTCCTACGTTTGGTTGATTTCGATTTTTGCAGTTTTGCGGTTGAGATTGATTAAAACCATAACAATTTTTGTGTAACTGCTATTAAGTGCTCAGTATCTACACACTAGTTAGTTTGTTGTCCACGTTAAGTATTGCTTAGTTAATAACCTTACGCATGGAGAATAACAATTTTGGTTTATATTGTGTGAGTTGCCTTATGCGCCCACTGAGGCTCAGTCCGTTTCCGATGGCGATGAAGAATGATCAGTTTTGAATCAACGAAAATAAAACGAGTGTTTAGCTTCGGTAAAACAAATTTTGATCAAGAAAAAACGCAAGCATACAGTGTAGGCAATGTTCTCTTCTGTTTTTATGTTGTGGAATGCCTTTCCGTGATGCGTCGAGAATTCAGACTTAAGCTGGACTTCGGCGCCATTGATACAATCTCTTAAATATATTTTTAAAGAAGGTTTTACCATTCTTGGAAGTTGATTTTGAAGCATGCAAGGAGTGTGAAGTCACGTCTGCAGGCATCTCCTTGAACGATTGTAGTGCATTCGATTTTCCTTTAAGACTATCTAACACTTCAGCTTCGTTACGAGAGCTGACTATTATGGCGGTCTCAGTCACGAGGAAAATTTTCGTTATCTTTCGAAAGTGGTTGCTTGAGATGGTCAATCAGAGAATTTGCAGTGTCTTTTTTTGGTGTCTTTTGTGCTGACCTCCTCGCGGTAGACACTGGAAACGCTTTTTGCCGGTTGTTAGGTAGGGGTTTTTTTGTGATTCTTTTTTCGCGCAAAGCAAAAACAAGTAAAGACCTGGGAAAAACTGCCAGTGATAAATTGTCTGCTGGATCACAGACATAAGTTCGTTAAACTGAGGGAAAAACTGTGGAAAATTATTCACTAACCCCATTCGTCCTTATGTATTTTGGAAAATCATTGTAAGTTTTAGCTACAGGGAAGATCTTTTCGACATGAAACCAACTTGAAGAGAGTTTTCCTTATGTGATCGGAGCATTTGAGATAAAAAACAGTTTGTTTTTGTGAGTGAATCGAGCTCAAGGGGCCGGGTGGGTTTCTTTTTCTGCTAGATGTCATCTGCAATAAAGCGGCTAACAGCGCACATTTGGGGAGCAATGCATGCGTGGGTTGTCGAGGGTTGCCATCAAGTCGAACGTAAAGTTATATCATTCCACAACATAAAACAGAATGGGCCACCTTCTCTCAGAGCGTATCTTTTTTTTGATTTCTTGAAGGGGCCAGTTACTATCTATGCACGCAAATAGACTCAAATACCCGAACTGATAGATGTCTACTCAGAGCAGTTATAAATTGAAGTCAGTAATTGTATATCGATTAATGTAACACACCAAGTGAAACTAGCTAATTGTACTGAAAATAACTTCACGTTGGTTATACGCTATCGCTTGATTTTTCTTCCACAGTTGCACTATATTTTGTTACTTTACTGTTTTACATATGCATGGTGTAAACTTTTTGCCGAGAGGGCCAATAAAATATGAAAATGTCCTATTTGTTGAACTTTTCATCCCGGGGTTCTCACCGTTAAATGGTGAAGGGGTAATCCTGTAATTATAGGTGGTAAGACATGGTCCTTACTTTTTGTTTGTAAAATTACTTTGATTCAATACCGTTAGTCGATTAACTTCATGTTCGGTTAAAAAAAAGGCTTCAGGAAAAGCCACTTTCACTGAGGCGATCATCGGTCTCCAATCATGACCTCGTCGGATTTTGATAGCTTGCAAAACTGTGACTCGTGCTTATTTAATGCTTGCTGAACAGGACAGCATGAAACGTTACAGTAGTTTGTTCACTCAGTTAAACGGAGTGCGAGAGGGAGGTTTGGGTGGAATCGAAAAGAAGGTTTACCTCGATTGACAGTAATGTCGTAATCCGATTGGCCAATTTGGCGGCTGCGCCTCGTGAGTCCACGACACTTTTTGACCACCGTGATGCCAATAACGTTGTCGACAAGAGAACAGACCACGCAAATCCGCTCTTGATGAATTGAAGGCTAAAAGTTTGGATTTTACGCGACCTGACACGAATCTCTCTCCATTCCTCAAGCCGCTGCTGCTATCACGCTCCATTTTACTAACTGAACGCCGGCAAAAGGCTAGTGAAACATCCGTATTGTAATTCGCGTTTTTTAGGAGTCATGCGCGAAAGGAGGAAGCTCGTCTCGCGCTTGACGCCATCAATTCGTGCTGCAAGCTTGCTTCGTTTGGGAGGAGAAACCCTAAGAATTACAACTACTGCTCTGTAAACTGAAACATTTGTATATATTCTGAGTTGATGTAAACAGTCAGTGAAATTATCCATCGAAATGGTCTGAATTTGACATAATACTACAGGTGCAAGCTATTCTCCTTTCTAATCTAGTCGTTTCCTCTGACGTTAAATGTTGATAGTATGACTGTTTCTTTCCTTCCCATCGGTCGAGAACCCATTACAATACCTCCAAATATCTGCCAGTGAACTACGGTGTACTTTTGCGTAATACTCGACAACCTTACATTGCTGCAAATAATCTGCTTATGCGTTGTGTTTATCCGCGTCCTTTATTGAAAAATGCCAGATTGTTTCTAAAAGAAGTCTTTTATATTTCCTAAAAAACGATTATGATTGACCACCATAGCGACTGGGTGATGGAACAATAATTGAACTTGGTGATCCCAAATTTTGTTACTGGTCAATTATCTGTCGCAAGTCCTGTTTTTCTTTGGCAAGTTATTGATCTGTTCGACCCTCCCGCAACTGAATTCGCGATGCTCAACCTCGTCATATTCATTGAAGTTTACTACGACGAGAAAGACCTTTTAGATTTTCTAATCTAACATATTTCCTCGGGACAAAATAATAATAATAAAAAAAACATTCAAATTCTCACTCGTTTTGTTGTGAGCCTCCTCTCCCCGCCCTTCGTAAGTTGAGTGGATGCTTTTTTCTGTAAATACATTTCACATCCTATTAAGACATATACTTAGCATCGAGTTTCTAGAAATTATCAAATTTAGCCAACCCGATGATCATTTGGAATTCATCATCGTTGTTATTTAGTTTTGAATTGTCAGCGCATGTTCCATTCAGAACAGAAGCTTCAGAACACGCAGATTTGAATTTTTTTTCCTTTATAGCTATAGGGTCTCGCAAGGGGAATCCCCTCACTATGGTAAATACACCTTCACTTCCATTCGCCGCAAGGGACTATGGGAAACAAGAAGCATTTCATCATCGTATATTCAAAGATGTAAGAAAAATTTGTAGAGGCTTATACTGTAATTCGCATCTAACCAGGTACGTAATTTCTTTCATGTGCTTGATTTCCCAGCTATGCCTTTTGGAGCCGTTCTCTAAGGGCATTAAGTGTTCATCCTCAACTCTTGATCGAAAACAAAACTGTATCTAATGCAATTTTTTATATTGTTTGCGTGCATTCAAAAGCGAGAAACAAGAACCGCGGCCATTATTTTTTATTGACAAGTTTTTTTCTTTAGAGACAGAAACATGCGTCGATTTTAGCGTTCGTAATGAAATTTTTAGATCCCAGCACCACTAAAAGTTTCTAAAAGAAAGTTAAAAACAAAACAAAACAAAAACGAAAGATGAGCTTTGTGGCGATACATAGCGATAGGAACAAAAGGCGTGGCGGCCATTTTGACTTTGTTTAGTGTGGTTTTCAAATCTGAATAGGATCTTATACTCGATACTTCAACTTTCCTTAGCTATCATAACTGTTTTTTATTTCAAGGGATTCTATTAATTCCTGGACTCTTTTCTGTCCGTTAGTTAGGTACATGAAAACATTTTCGTTGCTTCTGGGAAGGCGAAACAAATTACGCTTATCGAAGCAATTATTTCTTTGTACACAAAATGGCGTTGCGTCCTTTATAGTAATAGTTCAGTGCTTCGACCATTCGTGACCTAATCTGAAGTTTGTGTTCCCATGCATATATGCAGTTGATATTGATGTGAACTCGATTCTGTATTTGATAAGCCGTCAGTTTTGTAATTGTTTAATCAACATCGAGAAATGTTACCAGCAATATTTGCGGGTTGTAGATTAGAAGGCAATGACAACAGAATGGAGTGGCGAAAACCCTTAAAACGATGATGTAAATTACTTGCATTATATTTCTTAGTTAAACATTACTTTCAAAAGTTTTATCCTTCGATCGATGTGACAATTTCTTGGTATGATTAAACTAAGGTTACTGCTTAAACTGGAAAGTATGTATATTGATAAATATTAAGTAAGTTTTTTTAGTTTTGTCTTGTAATAAAAAGATACTTAATGTAAATTTTAGGAATTAATGAAAAACCAAATCTCGCTAGGAAAGTAAAAAAACGAAGTGATGATATTTCTATACAACGTGAGGATATCAACTTGTAATTTAGCATGATCCTGCCAGAATCTTAGTCTTTTAGTTCATGTCATTGTATACCTTTGAGCAATTAGTTATCTCCAGTCGATCATATTTATTTTTACAGTATCTGGCATTATTAATGTGTAAGAAAGAGTGCAAATTTATTTAATCAATTTTTGCAATCATGATGTTTTTGGTAATATTAAATGACTTTGTTTAAATGCTCTTGACCATCCTCCAGTAATTGTACTGGATGTTGATAGTGTGTAATATGCCTTGATGTTAGATGAAGGTTTTAAGTCTTAGTTAATCCTAGAATTTGTCTTGTGCTTGTGACACTTTCATTTTAGTTGCAGCTGGTCTTTCTGCTCTGGGCACTGCTCTGTGATAATTTTACCAAAGCCTCAAAATTCACATGCAATCAAGTTGCTCCAAATAACTTTACTGGTGGTGAATAAGTGTAACTTCAGCTTTGAGTAAACGTTCCTTCCCTTTGTATTTCAGATTAACATACAGAGTTATTTAATATTTAAAAATGTCTGGATACAGAATTCCATTTTCTGCAAATATTGATGACAAGTTTATTTGTAAATCATGTGGTCACTTATTGAGAGATGCTGTACAAACACGTTGTGGCCACCTTTATTGTGAAAACTGCTTGCTGAGGATGTTAGAACATGAACGGTAAGTGTATATTTATCAACACAAGCCAAATAAGTTTCAAAAGCTTGGTTAGTGTCATAGGATTTCTTCAAAACAGTTATGTAATACTTAAAATGAAATTATGGGCAGTAAGGGATTGTACCAAAGACATACTTCTGCATTGCTGTTTTGCAACATAGTGATGAATGTTTAATTAAACCTCATATGTGGCTGTGATTTTGAAGACATTACTATTGCTTTCAGGAATTTAATTAATCCATAATACAGAATGACATCATCACTTTTTAACTGAACCAAATTCTAAAAGTGCATCACCAAATTTGGATTACCTTAAGTAACTTGATCACATGACTTGCTTTTAAGTGTCAAAGTCATATAAATGTTATTTATTGTGTGATACATTAATAAAATGCAAACATTAATTTTTGTGAATAATGAATACTGTATTACTGTTAATAATTAATAATTTTTTTAAAATTCATTTTGTCAACTTAAAGTTGTTAAAGAAAGAATAAAAGTAATGAAGTTCACACAGTGCAAAGGAAGTTACTTTCTAGAGGGTCTCTCAGGTACCCTAATCTGGTCATGCAACAAACTCAGTGTCCCTACAGGCCCTAAATTGAAACTCCTATTGGTATCCATTGGCTTTGCAGTTTATATTTTTCTGTATTCCAATCAGTGCTCAAACCATTTGCAACTGTGTATAGATGAACATAATTTTGATTTAAGTTGTTGCTGTTAGTTGATTGTATGTTCTAATAGATTTACTCCTGGCTTTTTATTTAGGGTGTTAAAGGCAGTCAAATGTTTAGACCAGAATTGTAGCACTCAAATTGGAAATGAAGGGGTAATTATGTTTATAATTCATCCATACTTAACCCTTTAACTCCCAAGATCTCATTGATAACTCTCCTTACTGTCTTTCATATAGTTCTTGTAATGTTAGTTTGGAGAATTTAGTATTGTATCAACTAATACTCCCCTAATTGATATAATTGTTCTTTATTCTCATCACTCGTCTGCTTGATATTGTATTGATATTGTATGGAGAAATTCTGTCTTGGTCACTTATGGGAGTTAAAAGGTTAAGCATTATTTTAAACTTATAAATAAATGCATTTTTCCTAGTTAATAAGAGCACATACAATTTCATCTTCAGTTAGGAAAAATAAATATCATGGACAAATAAAGTACACTTAAATGATGATGGACATCTAGTTTCATTATCAAGTGAATAAAGAGATATGTAGTTTTATTTTTAATGAATTGAATGAAATGAGACAATAGGTCAAGTTTTAAGATACAAGTGTTAGGTTGAGGCATGTTGTGGAAATGATGATGTGCATAATCACTATAGCCATTAGAGGGAAGAAGCATTTCTGATTACCAGTTCTGATATTTGAATTATAATGAAATAGACAAACCCCCATAAAATCTAAATGTTAAGTGTACAAGTAAGAGGGAGAATTCTGTGTAATAATGAAATTTATATGTACTGCTTTATAAATTTAACTATGTGCATGGGATTTTAGGTCCTCCCAAGATATCTGTATTTAAATGTTGTAGTCATATTTGTAAAAGTTTGAAAATTTGTGTGCCATAAGACTGTGATGTTGCGATTTGTAAGAATTATTTGGTGGTCAAGTTGAATTGGTCCCTGCAACAAAGTGAAGGAGCTTAAGTAGTTGGTCTGTAATGGCAAAAGTCCTAAAATATCTCAGGCAAGATTTATCTCAAGAAATTAAAATATCATGTCTCCTTGAACAAGTACCTGTACTCTAATAGGTGCCCTCCCCTAAATAAGTGCACAATTCCCCTTGGCCATACTAACAAACAAATTTCCCTCTTCAATAAGCACCGGCCCCTCCTCTCTCAATTCTTTTAAGTTGCAGGGATACGAGGAAAACCTGTTTCTAATTAATTGCCACTTTATTTACAACTTTTTGAACTTCAACCATAGTGGAATCAATTTCCATCCCAGTTATTTTTTTCTCCGTGTGCTCGCAGAATTCCTCTATAAGCATTATCTTTTCTTTATTTTTTTGTCAAATTGCTGTGTTAACTTAATAAGCACCCCTTTGATTAAGCACCTTCTTTCTATATTAGCCCCCTCCTTTTAGGGGAGATTTTAAATATGCCCCTGGATACTTCTGGAAGGAAATACAATGGCCTGAATTTTCTTGCTCACTATAAGTTGCAGAGATTATTAATAGTGATTGAAACTTAAGTTCCAGATCTGTTCCCCTCAATTTTTTCATACTCTTTTATTTTTCTCATCTGATTTCAAAATTCATTTTTACATTTATTGATGTGTAACCAATATTCCATAGTGACATTAAAAAAAAAAATGACTTCCAGTTTGTTGTAGAAACAATTTTTGGTCACACATTTATTTCTAACCATGTTAAATTAAATGATATTTACTAATTCATGTAATGGTCCTCATCTGAAGTTACTTAACTCGGGTGGAAATAGATGTATTTCTGACAGAATTCTTATGGGTTCAGTACAGGTAACAGTCCTTTACTAATTAAAGAAATCAAAGTCGGATCAAGGGAACAAAAGATGTATCAGGGATGTAGCTAAAGTTTTTAACAGGTGGGAATCTTGCAATGATAGGCAGGTATTTGGGCGGAAGGCCCACTCTAGCGTGCCTTTGGCACGCTACACCTAGAATTGAAGGTGTAAACAAATGAAATAAATAAATAACAATCTTCTGACAACATTTAGAAACATTTGGAGAAAGAAGTAGTGCTTCACAGCTGGAAAAATTGAGTTGACAGCCGGGTAATTTTCCTGGCTTCCGGCTATTATCTACATCCCTGATGTATATGTATGTTGGTAATGTAATAATTACATATTAGGAGGTAACATAGGAACTAACATACATTGTGTGTATCTACAGAAGTGGTTTCATAATGTTGATATTATGTAACCTAAATTAAAAAATTGTCCTCACAGGGATCACAATAAATACATAATTTCTTGTATCCTAAAATGTCTGCATACTTGAATGACAAGTGCCATCTCATTCTTTTAAGGGAGATTATGTTTGCTTGTGTAACTTCATTTGTTAATGTACTACTTGGTTGGTTCAGCTGGAAAATTGAGAATATTATGCAAGTTCACATTTTTTTTGTTTCTATGGACAGTATTTTCGTGACATTCACACAAGAAGAGAAATACTGCAAATTATTACACCATGCTTGAATAAAGATACTGGTTGTGATTGGATTGGTGAAGTCAGATCTGCTGAAGTAAGAGTGAAGAGATTACTTTTAATACCTTGTAGCTGTAAATGATAATTATAAATCAAGTTGCTTGATATATTCCCTGGTTGTATGTGTTTGACTTTTCTATTTCTTGAAGTCAAATAACATTATGGTTTAAAATGTAATAATTAATCACCAAATTTGCTTGTCTTGGGGGCCTATTAAAGAAAAGAAGGATAAATGAAAATTTGATGGAAGATCTGAAGGAAAGGTGGGTGGGACTAATTGTATGATGGTATTTACATCTATAGCACATCAAATACATGTGTCCTATGCACAAATTATGTTTATTTATTCAACATTTCACAGATAATGTATTTTCTTATAGTACACGCTGTTTGTTATCTTAAAGACATCACTTTTAGCCCCATGCTGGTTCTGGAAGTAGTTCAGATTCAAGTCACTTGGGCTTGGAGGATCAAGCTGAATTAGCCCTGATCAGATTGGGTCACTTTTTATTTTTAACTCTGTCAACTAAGACTGAGGCAACTCAGAGATCATTTGGGTCCTGAATTTATATATTTTTTTGCATGAAGTTTACGCTACATTTAAATTTTGGTGTTATTTGATCTGTTCATAGGACCATTATAAAGAGTGTGAGTGTAGGCCAGTGACATGTGTCAATTCTGGCTGCAATAAAGACGTACCACTTAGGACATTAGCCAAGCACCAAGAGGAGGAATGTCCTTTTAGAGACGTGGTTTGCAACTTCTGCTATAAGGCAATAAAGTGGGCTGATCAAGCAGTAAGTAAATGCTGGAAGCTTCATTTAAAATCAAGTAATTAGTAAGTCAGAGCTAATGTATAAAATTTAAATATATCCAAGAAACCTGCTTGTTTGGGGAACCTTTGCTCATAATGATACCCAGAGGCAACAACATGTTATTTAGCTTCTACATCAATTAAGACTGAAAGGGCTTTCATTGTTTTATAATGCGGATCTAGTCCAAAAGAGTATAACCTAAGAGAAACGTACAAGAGGAAATTATAACATAATTTATACATCCAATAGGATACTTAGTAAACTTATTGACTGACTTCCATAACATGTAGCTTTCACTGTGATTGAGTCATTGTATGGTTATACTATTAACATTCATTACATTATAGAACCATAGTGAAAGCTGTGAAAACCTACATGTTACTTGTGGAAATTGTGGGAAGGAGAACATTCAATTGTGCGAGGTACAGACTTCAACCACATGAATGCAATTATTATATTACAGTTACATATTACTATTGCTATATTTTTTATGAGGGGAGGGGGGGGGGATTAATTATCACAATTTTCATTGAGAGCTATTCACCGAAGTGGAGGTGGGTATAAAAGGTGGATATTTACCTAACTGCGAGGCGACAAGTTAATTATACAATGCTCTCAATGAGATTTGAACCCAGGGGGTGGGTGACAGTTACAGTATTGTGCAAAAGTAACACAAACGAACTTCGACGAATGTCCTGGCTTTTTGAGGAAATTTCGCTGCGAAAGAACTTTCCGCGAACGAAATTACGAACAATATTTCGCTGTGGACGCTAGTGGGTTGCAAACTCAAGAGGGAAAGTTCACTCTTCTCGAAAGTTTGGTGCGAAATTTCGAGAGAAAATTCGCTATACCTATTACAGCGAAGTGTAGTCCATGTATTGTTGTAATGCATTGCAAAAAATTCGAAATCAGTGTCATCCACTCAAGTAACCATTCTATCGCTCCTTCCTGTTGAAACCTCAACGAATGTTCGATTGTTGATGTGATCCGAACAGCCAGGTGTTCGAGTCTAAGTAGAAACGACCACGCAAACACTCCAGGCAAGTGGAACTTAAACTGGGCGCCATTTGTTGTGAATAACTTCGTCATATAACAACACATGAAATTCCCAATTTGTAGGCGAGACTCCACGCGAGGAAGCGTGTCGTGAACTGTTCGCAACCATGGCAACGCATCGTATACCGATGGTTCGTAAACAATTCTCTCATTCATTCATTCATTGATCTCGTAGCACTCTGGTAGTTATTATGCCAAAAATATCAAGCTATACTAGAACTCGAATCGAGCTCCTGTATAGCCAGGGCTTCCATCCAGCTGGAATATTTAAAACCTTGAAAAGCGAAGGGTTACAAGTGAGCCTTTCAGGCATCACTCGCTTAATCAAGAAGCTGCGTCTTAATAGCTTCGTAGCAAATTTACCTCGCTCGGGGAGACCGAAAAAGCTGTCTATGGAAGCAAGAGCTTTCATAGACCAACAGATGCGTAGGAATGACGAGACGACGAGCGCGGAGATTCGAAAGAAGCTGGCAAAACGAGGAATTCTCGTTAATTCATCCACGGTGCGAAGATCGCGAAAGCTGCAAGGCTGAACTCTCTTACTTGCAAGGTAAGTTTTAGAATCTTCTTTCGCACTCTCCAAACTTCCCGCGTTAATGACGGGATTCAAATTTGTTCATGTGTGAATGTAATCTGCGAAAACTAAAGAAACATTCGGATACCATATCTGCCAAAAAGGTGTACTGTTCGTATAAGTCAAAAGCGATGCGGAAATTTTACTATTACAGCAGCATCTGATGGCATTGATCAGAACAGGCTAATGTTTTGTCTTTTCTGGTATAAAACGAAACATAAAGTCCTTATTCTTGGTAAGTTAGGCGAGCATTTCTCATCGTTTGTATTCGTGACTTAACTCTAGCGGAGGAACTGTCGTGTATTTCGTGAACGTTATATGATGAATAGATCGCGTACGTCGCATGGCAAACAGTTGAGTCTATCCAGCTCGAAATTTCGACCAGTAGGCAGTAAGGCGATGCTTTTTATCGCGAAATTTCGCTGAACTTTCGTTTCGAAGCGAAAATTCGACGAAATGGCGCTCTTTGTTCAAGGGAAAATTCGCTCAAAAAGCCTCGAATTGTCATTCGAACTTTCGCGAGAACAAAAAAAGAAATTCGCGCATTTCGCTTGCGTTACTTTTGCACAAAACTGTAAAAGGAAAGGGGAGGGGAGGAGGCAAAGATGGCCTCCCGAATAAACGATCGCGAACTTGTAATGTTAATTTCCACTAGTAAGACCCCTGTGATGAAAATGTAAAAAAATAAAAAAGAAAATACGATTGCACTTCCTGGCTAGATGAAAACAAATTATAATTTCATCATGCAAAGTAGGAATCTTAGCATGAGATTCTCAGCCGCTATTTAGTTTTTATTTAAAACTGTAAGAACTGTTGATGGGAGCAAACATGCTTTCGCCTTTTGTGATAGCCGAAAAGAATAGTTAAGCACATTGGATGACTGATATTTATTCGTGGCAACAATTACGAAGCCTGATATAGTCACCCAGGGCTTTAATTATTACCTGTCTGCTCATTACAGTTGAAGAGGCATCAAGATGCAAAGGACGGTGATTGCACACAAAAAGAGTGTCCATACAGAGACTACGGATGTGAGCATTGTGTAAGTTTGTTAGCCTGATTTCATGCTAAAAAGTAATCAAATTTAGATAAAAGCGTTTCGAGATTGAGTATCAATGTTGGAAGTTATTCTAACCGCCAGTATAATGTGGACTATATCGGAAATCAACTTGAGTGCATTTCATCTCATGCCTCAGTAAAGCGCTGGAATAGTATGTCCCCTTCGCACTGTTTATGGTTTTTCATGCTTAAGAGAGTGTCTCTGTAAGAGCGGTCCGGTCGATTTTGCTTGAGACACGGATTTCGCTCGTTTCCCGTGTGTTGTAAGACATTCATGTACCTATACTAAAACCACAATCAGTTTGATCGGATCTCTTTATTTTTCAGAGTTTTACGGAAATTAAATTTCACTCGAGCGAAGGCTTGTCGTGACACTTTTCAAGACTTTAATTTCATACAACTTTGGAGGACAATTTACAAAAAACTACGGAACTCAGCAAAAAACAAATACCACAGCCATGTATATTAACTCTATCTTATCTATCGAGGCGACTTTCGTAAACATCACGTGTCAATCAAGGAAACAGGAAGACTTGAATGACACCTTATCGGTTCGCCTAAATCAAACACGCCAAAACCGATCAAATTCAAGGTAAATTTTTGAAAAAGTGAGGCGTTCTTAACTGATCCAACTAACATATCTAGGAAGTAGGTGCCATAGAAAAGATAACTACAGAAAAAAACTTTGCGGCCCGACCTTTACGAGAACTTTATAACTCCGTGAACTTACCTAATTTTCGGCAATCTCCAAGTTTTGCCGCCATTTTGAGGGACTTGTCAACATGAAGCGTATCCGATATAAATCAAGCAGGTAAATCTAAAACCGTCAGAAATACATACGAAAGCAATTCAAATGAACTTTACTTCAATTCAAGCGGCAAAATTTGAAATTGTTCGTTGAACTTACAATCCTCATGCGACCATTTCTTTCAAAAATTCAAACACTACAACTAGCGTTCGAATTCCCCTCGCCGATTCCACCGCAAGAAATATCCTGTGCCACCCAATCTTCGACTCGAACATGAAGTACGAATCAAGTAACATAACTGTTTCATCTTCGCGGCAATATCACGCTGGTATTTTGATTTTCCGATCGACAAGAACGGTGATCAGGAATCGATCGGTTTGTTTACCTGGTAAACGTGACCGCTGACCAGCCGCTAAGTGAAAACAGCATAGCGCGGGGTGGGGTGGTTGGCGGGCTTATCGTCATAAGATATTCGAATGCATGCTCAAAAAGCTCTAGGACTATCAGTCTAAACAGTGAAGGCATGCTTTGTGGTACAGACAACTTTCATGTTATTCTCATAACTTTCTCCTTAAATACATTTCATTCCAAATAGGACTAGCATCAGTTCATAGATTTAAAAACAAATCTTTACCACGTAAATAAATGTGTTTAGATAATCGAGATAACCATTGAACCTCTTGTATCGCACCGGAAATAACGTGTCTTGTCTTTGCCCAACTCTGAGAGCGTGGAGCGGCGAAGACGCGAGATACGAGTCTCGCGTCTCGCGGATTCACCATGCTCACAGGATACGCGTGACCTCACTATCTTTAAGAAAAATAAGAGACTACTCGAAGTCTGTATTCCGTTCAACCATTTCATAAGAGTGACGCGAGTCTTTCAATTGAGTGAGAAAGTCACAAACCCATTCTTTACCTCACGAGCGTATCCACTGACCACTCACGAATTACAGTAGGCTTCTCCTTTGACGCGGAAATTGAAATCGTATCGAATATACAAAGTTATAATGAGTTCCTTTAGATCTCCCGAACTTGTATCGCGTTGGAAACAATTACAAGTACAAGAAGAAGTCGTTCACAAGCGAGACGTTCATTATGTCTCAGGACTGCTTTTTGAATAGCAAAGATGGAAAAAACTTTGGTTCAACGTGTGGCTTAAGTGGTTTGGTACGACTGTCTGAATGCTGATTATGAACTGATCAGAACAAAGGTTTTACAAGGAGCCATGAAAACTCAAAGTTAACGCACCCAACCTTCCTGAAGTGTAGAAAAGGGATTTTTTTAATCATGATTTGTTTTAGCTTTGCCTCTTGCTGGTTAAAAAGCAGGTGGAAAAGATGAAAAAAATGAAAAATCCTGAATAAGCAAAAGTAAATAGCTGCAACTCTGCACTTCCTTTCATACTGGGTTTAAAGCTGCTCTAAACCTCATCATTTGATAAGCTGCCACCTGTCTAAAGAGGTTTTTAAGGGAAAATGAGCTAATCTTTGCAAGGATTGGCCTATTTCACCTCGCTCAGGAGGATAAACAAAAAAATGTGGATTTGCTATAGGCATCGCTACACTCTGGGGAAGTTTTGGAGAAGTGAAAAGGTAACACGTCAGTATCCTGATCAAGATAGTGTCAGGAAGCGTATCCAAGGCAGAGATGTAATTACCTTGCATATGTCTCAGGACGTTCAAAAGCTGTTTGGAGTTATTATTCCAGTTGAATCAGGTGGTCTTCAGTAACATTTTCTGTTATCTATTTTTGTCACGTGACATATCTGCTCGAAAAGAGAAGAAATTCTTTATTAGATGAAGAGTACTTAAGTACACATCACGTTGAAAAAAAATAGATCTATGTGTAAGTGCTTTTCATCACAGATGGAAATATGTACAAAGTTGCTCGGTTGATAATCAATAATGTTTTTGTAGAAGATCAAATTACCTGACAACGCAATCTACTTACTCATGCGTACGGTTCACAATTATTTGCGGTCAGTTTTCCTCAGTTTGTATGATTCTCATTAACCGATATGGTTAAATTTGCAGACTAAAACACCCCTTATTTGATTAAGAATAATAAAAATAAACAGTACATGTCGGTTTTTAATTCCTGATGGATGCTACTGGGCTTTACTTTAACTGAGAAATTTGCAATCGCTTACCTCAGCTCTCTGTGTCCCATGCGGTAAGAAGCACAAGAAAAAAGTTGATGATAGTGAGTCTTGGCTGAGACAAGAAGAATCAGAGAAGAATCTACGGTCCCCAGAAGCGCCACTTTTAAACACGAGACAACTAAGGTAAATTGAATGAATTGTTATTTGTTTTATTTAAAACTATCGTTCAGATTATAAGATACGCGAAAAACTCTCCCCACCGATTTTTTCCTACATTCTGTTAATCAAAAGTTTCTATAATTATAAAGGCTTTCTTGTTGATCGTCTTAATAGTAACAGTTTCCAGGATCCAAGGGGAGCAAAAGAGAGAACAATTTTCTGTGTACCTAGGTAAGGCGACATGCTGGCTTTATACTTCTTACGGCTTGATAACGATAATGATGACAACAATGGGCAAAAAGCACCGTCCGCTAATAATAATAATAATGACAATCTTTAATGAGGAAACTTTTTCACTAAAAAGTGGTTTACAAAAAGGACCTCGAAAATTAAAAATTAAAAATTTACAATGAATAAAAATGCTAAAAGATGCTACTAAAAACTAATGTATCTTATGTGTAATACAAAACTTAAATCAATGAATTAAAAATCTGACGCTTCAAAATATTTACATTATCAGAGGCTCGTATAGTTTTGTCCAGCGAGTTAAAATCACTTACAGCATGATAGCCAGTTCTTTGTTTGCCTCAGTTTCTTTTAACGGATGGAATTTTGAGGTTTGCTTTATTTCTTGTGTTGTAACTATGCTGTTCTTGCTGAGTGACTAATGTTAGTTCGTGATGCGTGAGACCATTAAGACATTTATATACATGTACGCATCGGCGCTGGAAGCGCCTTTTTTCTAGTGTTAACCACTTCAGTGTAGTTAACGCATCAGACGCAGAGGAATACAGTGGTCGATCTAATATTATTTTAGCCGCCTTATTTTGAAGCACTTGCAAACTAGACATTAAAGTTACATCATGTTTGTCTCCCCAAACTAGATCAGCATACTCGAATAAGGGCATAACAAGGCTTTTATAAAAAAGGATGCGCGCCTTAAACGGTAACAAATGCTTAATGCGTCTAAGTAGGCCAAGCCTTTGATTAACTTTCCCTGCCATGTATTCGACATGATTTGTCCACGAAAAATCAGACGATATTAAGATTCCAAGATATTTAAAACAAGTAACATTGTTTATACAATGATCAAAGATTGAAACAGTTAGAGCTATTTTCCTCTGTAACTTCTTGTTACTGCCTATAAGCATGCATTTGGTTTTGTCCAGATTCAGTGTTAACTTATGTTCATTCAGCCATTTCGCCACAGCCAGGAGGTCTTGGTTGAGCTTTTCAGTCAGCTCCTGAGAGGAAGACCCATAGCAGTAGATCACCGTGTCATCTGCATAAAGTGATGCTTGACAGGCATCTAGAACGCTTGGCAAATCGTTAATGTAGATGACAAATAGCAGAGGACCCAGAATACTTCCCTGAGGGACCCCATGGGTAACTGGCAATTCATCAGACAACTCATTCCCACAACATGTACGCTGTTTCCTGTCAGTAATGTAAGAGCGGAACCACTGAAGCGAGTTCTCACATAAACCAATTTTGGAGAGCTTGCGTAACAAAATCCGATGGTCCACAGTGTCGAAAGCCTTGGTTAAATCCAAAAACACGGCCCCACACAGTTTACCTTGTTCCATGTTCAATAAGACTTCATCAGCAAATGATGTCAAAGCAGATTCAGTAGAGAGCCCCTTCCTGAATCCAAACTGTTTCCTTGTGAGAAGGTTGTTAATAACCAAGTGCTGGTACAGCTGGGAATGCACGGCTTTCTCGAGAATTTTACTGAGTGTCGGTAAAATAGAGATAGGTCGATAGTTCGATGCATTTGACCGGTCGTCTGATTTAAACAAGGCTGTAATTTTTGAGCATTTCCACAATTTAGGAAATTTACCAGTAAGAATCGATCGATTCAACAGCTTAGTGATGGAGGGAGTGATTGTATTAGCAGAGCTCTTGAGTAGTCTAGCACTAATTTTGTCCAAACCAATTGCTTTATTTGTCTTCAAAGAGGTAAGCTGCTGAAGCACAAACGATTCCTCTAG